CATCATGGCAGAAACCCTGCAGGACCTACAACAGATGCTGAATGACCTGGCTGACTCTTCTATACGCATCGGCCTACGGATGAACTTGGATAAAACCAAGGTCATGTTCAATGAACATGTTCTACCGGAACCGATTGCAATACACGGTACCGTTCTCGAAGTTGTTCAAAAATATGTATACCTCGGGCAGACATTGCAGTTAGGTAGAAACAACTTTGAGGACGAGGTGAATAGAAGAGTTCAGCTAGGTTGTGCAGCGTTTGGGAAGCTACGTCAAGTCCTGACATCGTCGATCCCACAGTGCCTAAAGACGAAAGTCTTCAATCAGTGCGTCCTACCTGTGATGACATACGGAGCCGAGACGTGGACACTGACGGCACGGCTGATCCACAGGTTCAAAGTCGCTCAACGCGCTATGGAAAGGGCTATGCTCGGCGTTTCTCTGAAAGATCGCATCAGAAATGAGGTAATCCGACAGAGAACCAGAGTTATCGACATAGCCCACCGGATTAGCAAGTTGAAGTGGCAGTGGGCTGGCCATATTTGCCGAAGAACCGATAACCGTTGGGGTAGACGAGTTCTGGAGTGGAGACCGCGTCTAGGCAAACGTAGTGTAGGACGTCCTCAGGCACGGTGGAGTGACGATTTGCGCAAGGTGGCTGGCAGGAGCTGGATGCGAGTAGCCAAAGATCGATCTGAATGGCGTGCATTTGGAGAGGCCTATGTCCAGCAGTGGACTATGATAGGCTGTTGATGATGATGATGATGAACCGTCCCACGTTGCTCCTTTACGAGATCTTATTAATAAAATTACAAACCCAATTTTTAGTCTATACTTTTGAAACACTGGAAACATGATTGTGACGTCACGAAATTTGTAAACAACTAAACATCATTGGTGTCGATTCTAGCGTAATTCTCTAAACTTAAAACCTCAGACCAAATAAAAAGTAAAGACGGAGTCTGCCGAACCAAAAAGTGAAGCCGGTTTTTTATGTATGTAGTGCATTAGCCAGTGTTACCATAGTCATATAAAACACCCCAATATTAGAAAAATGTAATAACGTTATTAATTTTTTAATAACGTTATAAAATATTAGAAAAAAATATCGTAAGCTTATTCTCTAAACCTCTCGTGAGCCAAAGGTCATACGCCGTTCTCACCTACAAGTGCCGGACTTCTTTATGGACCGCCCGCCCGCTGGGTGGGAACGATTCGATTGCATTGTTCTGCCGATTTCTCTGTTATTTTGTAAAAATACCCTTCACAAACGTATATTTGGATTCTCCATAAAATTTTCAATAAAACAGTGTGTACACAATGCGTCATGTCTATAATTTATTTTAAATACATTATGGTAGACTCAGGAAAGATAACAAAAAATCGTTTAAATAGGTAAAATGAGGTGTATTTTCAAAATTTGTAAATTATAAATCCAGGTTTTTGTACATATAGAATGTACTATATATGAATGAATGTATATAATAACTTACCAAATACAATTATAAAATATAACACGCAACAGAAAAAAAAAGGGTCGTGTTGCAAGTGTTGATAAAAACAAATGCGAGATCCAAGTGCCTTGATTTATGTGTTGACGCTTAATTATGTTGGATTGATTATTTTACTTTAGTTACAAGTCTCGGATGGAATAGGTTTGTTCATTTTATAGTTTCAAGCACTCGCAACAAGGCACTTGAAATCGCTTACAAATCAGTCATCTCAAATTTATGTCGATAAAACGAAAAGCATATACAAATGTTGATAAACAGTTTCTTTTATTAAAATGTACATGAAATTTTCTATAGAATACACAAAATATAATCACTAGTTCCTATACAAGAACATAATAAAATAAATTCACAAACATCGCGAATTTTGGGTCAAAAAGGCCATTAAAAAGTACAATACAAATAAAATTACAAATATATTATTATTTTACTGTTGTCCGAAATAAATATTTTTTATTTTTTTTTAACATGACAATAAAAACTATTTAGACACAATTATGTCCTTGCCAGATTTATTTATTTGTTTGGGCTTGGATGAGATTATATTATTCTCGCAAGCATAATTTTCCGAAAGGATTTCAAAAGAGATAACAGCAGTGACTTATCATGCCAAATTCAAAGAGGACATAATGTTGTTATTGTTGTCAAAAAAAAACAAGATTTAAATATATTAATAATTATACTTCCTTATATAAATATACTTACCTTTTACTCCATCTAAGTTTGACTTTCTTAAAATGACAAAAAAAATTAAAGTTTGTTGTCTAAGTCAGCTATTACTCGGCATCACAGTTTTTATATTTTTTTTTATCTCCCTCGCTTAACCTTTAGTCATTGCATATTTATTGAAATAACAGTGTAAATAATAAAAACAATAGATAGCCAAAACTGCATCTTGTTATTTAATTTTGAAACGTTCCTTTTCTTCGCGATAGCCGCTTCAGCAACTTCTGGCCATATCATCAATTTTTCTGTACTTAGCCATTATTAAGACTTCTGACAATTTATATACAGGTTCGATAAGCAACAAATAATATAAAAATGCATTTGTCAGAACTACACCTTGTGGTTTAAATTTAAACAATTTCTTTACAACTTTGTCGACTTCTGACAGTCTTTAAGCCCCGACCTAGACTTCTGACAATAATTTTCCTAGATTCCTACAGTTAAAAACTATAACTCTACCAAATTTCAGAACTGCACCTTATCATTTTTTTCTTATTTTAATGACCAGGATACACTGTTGTCAAATTTAAGTTTAGATTTAGAGAATCGACACCCTTGGTCTGTTACCGTGGTTTCTTTCGTCGGACTAAAATATGTCTAAAAACTCTTTTATCTTGTAGAAAAGTTTCCATTTATTGGTTTTGTTGACTAAATTGATGCTGGACGCCGGTTTTGTTAAAGCAGAAACGACAAAACTCTTTGACTTTGTAGGTTACATTAATAACCTTAAAAATTGTTGTTGTATTTTTAAACTTTAAATATTATTCAATGGTGCCAATTCTCTAAACTTAAAACTAAATTTAACATCAGTCTCTCCTTTTCATTCTGTATAGAGAATCACAAAGATATACTGCTGTCAAATTTAAGTTTAGGTTTAGAGAATCATGCTAGAATCGGCACCATTGAGTACTTACGTCGAAGTGATCTTTGAAATGAAATGACTGTCAGTCTATAAAGTTACAGGATTTAGCAAGTTTAAACATTCGTTCACGTGTCACCCCCACGTTTATTTCTTTCTCTAGGCAATTTAAACCACCACTTTTCTGGAGTCTTTAACGAGGTGTTTCTACATTCTCGTAGGTATAATGTAATCATGATAATTACTATATTTTTAATTTAATCTATTAGAAATCATGGTTTTATAATATAAACTCAGATAGTTTATTTCCTACGTGCTTGCGAGTGTTTATTTACAAATGTTTTGACTTCATAGCATAGATAAATCTATAGACTAAAATGGCCAACAGCGTTAAGCCAGATTTACATTGATACAGTAAAAACGGTGCAAATAACTGGACTGGATTGTATCGTTTACATTTTTGCCAGCAGTTGCATTTGAGGTTTAGTGGTGACTACACGTTTGGGAAAAAATGAACACTGAATTTATTTTTGCTTTCATTTCTTCAATAATTAACCTTTCCATATTCATTGAAGAGCAAAAATTTGTAGGGCGGTTATTCGCATCTATTTATTTCTATAATTTTGCGAACGAATGTCCCTTAAACACTCCTCATTTCTATACAAATGTATAAATTGTAATGCGTTATTATCACCCCACTTTTGAGACATTTTGCTGTCGAAAGTTTCAGCAAATCAATAACACGTGATGACATTGAAGCGGCGGCGCCAGCGACTGGCGTGAACGTGTTTAAAAAGATCCAGTGACGCTGGCAAGGGGCGCGGGGGATGCGGGGTGTGGGCACTGGCATGAAAAGTAGGCCTTCCTTCGACTCCATGCCAGCGCTGGCACCAGCGCGGGACTAGCGCCAAAAATGTTTACATGGATCTAGTGCTGGCATGCCAGCGGGACTGGCGCCAGCTACTGTATCAATGTAAATCTGGCTTTAATGGTGTCGATTCGGTTTTGTAGCTTTCTGGGTCAAAAAAATACATTTTTTTTTTGTCTAATAGAACAATTATATTAGTAACCATTTAAAACATATTTCCAAAAAGTGTCAACTAGCCTATTTGGCAACAATGGTGTCGATTCTGGCATGGTTCTCTAAACCTAAACCTTAATTTGACAACAGTGTATCCTTGTCATTCTCTACATAGAATGAAAGGGAGAGACTGATGTTAAATTTAGTTTTAAGTTTAGAGAATCATGCCAGAATTGACAACAGTGTATCCTTGTCATTCTCTAAACAGAATGAAAAGGAGAGACTGATGTTAAATTTAGTTTTAAGTTTAGAGAATCATGCTACAATTGACACCCACCAGTGTCTGTGTCTGATGGTAAATATCTACCACAGCATGGTAAACGCGTCTTCTCCAAGAACTCTATGTTCTATCTTCCTTTTTTATATAAATTGTATAACAACATATTCGGTTTCACCTATCCTAACTTCTTTATTGCACTCAGAAAAAAGTACGTAAATCTATGAACTTTTCATATGCAAGTTTTACTAATTCTACGTAATGTTCTCATCGGGCCTATGCCTTTTTTCAAAATCCGTGTTGGCAACACTGCACTGCACTAACTTATCGGTCCCACATCCGGCAGAAAAGGGCTAGAACACAGTGCCGTAAAACCGAAATAGAAAAAAAAAACTAACTTAACCTAACTTTTTCTCTGTTGTTCCTTTCGGAGTTTGTCACGAATATAGGTGGTTAGTGTTTACTGAATCTGCTTTAATCACTTGTGAAAACTGTAATTTCAACCTCAAATATTAGTTTCTGGGGAAGTGTGATCATTGTGTTACCTTTAAGTATTCTTATTTATAGTTAAATCTGCTTTTTAGGCAAGTTTTCTTTCTTCAAACATGGGGAAGGGTAATAATATGATACCCAATGGCCATTTCCATAAGGATTGGCAACGATTTGTTAAGACCTGGTTCAATCAACCGGCCAGGAGATACCGTAGAAAACAGAACAGAATAAAGAAGGCTAAAGCTGTTGCTCCTCGTCCAGCTGCTGGTCCTTTGCGACCGGTGGTTCGTTGTCCGACAGTTCGCTACCATACTAAAGTAAGAGCTGGACGTGGATTCACTCTGCGGGAAATTAGGGTAAGAATAGATAGTTTATAATGTAGTAATACTAGCACTTTTTTTTCTCTGATGACGTCTCCGTCTCCGGTTTTATAAAACACTGGTGTTGAAGTGGTATTGTTAATATTTATTTGATCAAATTCATTGGTAACTGTTAAGTTTTCTTCACAGATGAAGATTTTTGATTTTGAGTTATAAAAGATGTGAAATAAAGGATTGATATTTATTAATAAACCAAAAATACTGATATGTGAGTTGGACCAGTGTCCATCAGACTTATCTCCTTTAAGCAAATACGTAATCAAAAGAATTAATAAAAGCATTAAACTGCTTCATTTAATGTAATGTTTTCAAAAAATTCTTTAGATTTGCAATATAAACTCTTGACATAATGTACCTAGATTATCATCCCATATCAATGACAGGTTCATGTATGTATGAACCTGCCATTGATACCTGAAAAACTTAAGGAAAATATATTTTCCTTCAAGTTTTTCAGCTTATTCACTAGATGGTCAATCAGTACTTGGTGGCCCATGTGTACTTATAAAATAACTAGGTGTTTTAAAACAATAATTATGACATTTCAACTCCTAGATCCAACAAGATGTTCTTTTACCTGGTTAAAATTTTGCATTCTACAATAAATAAATAAAATTATATTTTCCAAAATAATAAAATATACAATTTTATTTATATTTATAGCTGATTCTAGTTCATTTTGCTGATCCGATTACAAATTATAGAATTTGTTTTCCAAAAGCATATCAATACTTTTTGAAATATTAACAGTAGCAAATTGTACAAAAATATATGAATTTATAAGATTTACTTTAATAGTCAAGTCCTACATTACTATTCTGAATGCTCCAGCAGTAGCAATCAATCATCATGATTAGCATTCTAATGACCTTGGCGTCAGTCTACCACCATGAATATGTCTTGAATCTTCACTTAGGTCACAAAAAGGTTCTCTGGAAAATGATCTTAATAATCAAAAAGATATATCCTCTAAAGTGCTGATCGACCGAATTTAGGTCTCTGTCAAAAATTGTTATAATGCTGATCAACCGAATTTAGATCGCTCGCGACCCCACTTATTCTATGGAAAATATAAGATTAATAATTTTTGCTATCACCTACATTCTTATATCAATTTGTAGAGGAAAGAACAGGCTAGCTATGTAGCCATTGATGAAGTCAACTGCCATATGAAATATTTATACTGTTGTCTGTGGAAGTTCGTTGTTGTGTATTCAGACTATTTAAAGTGTTTTTCAGTGGTTTATTAAAAAAAAACACCATCCCTGGGCAAGGTTAATACATTAAGTTACTCTATTTTGATGTTTCATTGGCGGGTTTACGTGTTTTTTTTTAAAATATTTTTTTGTCCTCGACCTCGAAAAAAAAAACATTAAAAAAAGGGTTTTTGGCTTGTTTTCATGGTGATAATTTCGATAATAATTGTAATGTTTTAATTTATAATTATTGAATAAATTATTCATGATTAATATTTCGAATGCAGAGAGAATCTCTTGAGTTAGTATTTTTGAAGAAATAAAAAAAAAACAAAAGCCGCGCATTGTAACGGTCGTTTTAAATTCAAATATTCGAATGAAATATTTTTTCATATTATTTTCTTGTATGCAAACTAGTGATTAGTTTTTGTTTATTCTTAAGCAAATTTCGTGTACATTTTGATAAAAGAAACTGTTTATCAAAATTGAAAATTCTTTTCATTTTATAGACATAAAACTGAAATGACTGATTTGTAGGCGATTTTTAAATGTCTTGTTGTAAAATCTTGAAACTTTAAAATGGACAAACATTATTCATTACAATTTTGGTTGTAATGTTATTTAAATTATTGTATAACATAAATCACAGCCACTCAGACGCCCGTTTAATCTTTATCGCCTACTTGACTAACCCTACACTTGTTTTTTCTAACGCGTGTTTGTTTACGCATCTGGCGTGTGGATTGTGAGAGCTATAGTCACGGTAATATTATCTATACAGTATTGTGACTCCGCCCTGTCCTTGAAAATAAATGCCTACACCGAACGCTGCGTTGGCACGCGGTAGGGCCGCCAGCCTACAGTATTTTATGTAGTTTTGTTTTTAACGCGAGTGTAGGTAGATTACTCGTTTGTCTCTTTTTTCATCATAACCACTTATTTATATATTATTCCAGATATTTTGCCCGATGGAAAAACCGAAATACCTAAATATTAGAAATAAATAACGTACTAGTAGATAGGTATATAACAAATATTCTATAAAAGTCCACCTTTCCAATATTTCAGGTAATTTAAAAAATGATATCTCTGGGTGTGTTATTGAAGAGTTCAAGCAACCAAAAACAGCAATTGTGCTGTTGTACGATATTGATCGTCGTTTGTTCTTTTCCATACTAAATTATGTAGGTATCTACTTAATTAAATCAAATATTTACAATACAAAATGCATGTTTAAGCACGGCTAACTGCATAAAAAACAATTCAGACCGTTCGGTCGTCGTTGCGGTGCGGCGGCGCATTCGCGACTGGGTGCACGCCGAGAGCACATCGAACTCGAGTGGCGTAGGTATGACTCGCTTTCCGACCGTTTGTATGAAGATAGAATACTGTATGATATTATTACCGTGCTATAGTGTAAAATTAAATTGTGGGAGTATGGTATTTTATGATTTTATTAAGTAAGTTATAATAGACTGTGCAAATAACCAAAAAACCTGGACATGGAATTTTAAAATTTTGAAAATATACTCCATTTCACCCATCTGAACGCATTTTTTTATCTTTCCCGAGTTTACCGTAACGTAATTAAAATAGATTATAGACATGACGCATTGTATAGACACTGTTTTATAGAAAATTTTACGGAGAATCCAAATATAGTTTCTATAGGGTATTCTTACAAAATAACAGAGATATCGGCGAAACAATGCAATCGTTCCCAACCAGCGGGAGGCCCCTTAAAGGAGTCCAACATTTGACAGTGCGAATGGCGCATGACCTTAGGGACGTGAGAGGATATATAAATGTTTCATTCTAGCCCCTGGAAAGACAGCATCAGCTGCTCGATTTGTTGATATGAATGTACCAAAGGCATGTCTTTCTTTTTCTTAAAAATTTAATTAAAATAAAAATAAAATAAAATAAAAATAGCCTTTATTCTCTGATATAGTTATACTACTTACTAACTAGCCGTATTACTAATTTTCTATTGCTACAATTTTATTTAATTTTACATTGCTTACACTAATAAAAGAAAATTGGTAACAACCAGCACTATTTTAATCAGGTTGTCCTCCTCGGACATAGGCCTCCTCTAGAATTTTCCATTTTATCCGATCTCTTGCTAATCTGCGCCATCCTTGTGGTAGGTCATCCTCCCATCTTCTCATTGGCCGCCCTCTTGTCCTCCTCCCATCTCTGGGGTACCAAGATACAACCTCTTTGGTCCATTTTTCTTTGGGGATCTGATCACATGTCCAATCCAACGCCATTTAAGTCTCCTTATTTTCTTGGAAACATCTGCCACACCTGTGATTTTTCTAATTCTGCTCAGTCTCCACTTGTCTTTCAAACGGATGTGCAGCATGCTTCTCTCTATCCCCTGCTGACATACCTTGAGTTTTTGACTGTGCGCCTTTGTCAGGCCCCAAGTTTGACACCCGTAGGTAAGTATTGGTAGGATGCACATGTTGAATACTTTACGTTTGATTGGCATTGGAGTGTTCTTATTCTTCAATATTTCCTTCAGCGACCAGTAACGAGCCCAGGTGTTGTTTACTCGTGTTTGCAACTCTTTGTCCATCTGCGAGTTTGGTGAAATTATTTGGCCTAAATATGTGTAGTCATTCACATACTCAATGTCATGATTATTGACACAGATTTTTTGTTGATGTCTTATTGGTCATGATCTTTGTTTTATTTGTGTTCATGGTCAGACCTGCTTTTTGACTTTCTGTTGCAAGTTGTCAGAGCATTTCTTGTAGAGTGACTGGGTCCTCCGCAAACAGCATCAAGTCGTCCGCAAATCGCAGGTGTGACAGCCTACATCCATTAATATTTAGTCCCCTCTTTTCCTAATCTAATTTTCTGAAAATTTCCTCTAGCACAGCTGAAAAAAGCTTGGGAGATAGAGGATCCCCTTGTCTGACTCCTTTTTGGACTTTAAATTCCTCTCCAATTTTTTCTAATTGTACTTTTGCCGTGTTGTTGCTGTATATATTCTTTATGAGTCTAATATACTTATTTTCTATTCCTTGATTGAACAAAGCTTTATATATGTAGTTATGAGATAGCGAATCAAATGCCTTATTATAGTCTACAAAGGAAATATAATGGTTTCCTGTACTCATTGTACTTTTCTATTACTTGTTTTACGACATGCATGTGGTCTACCGTTGAAAAATCTGCTCTGAAGCCTGCCTGTTCTCTTGGTTGTTCCGCGTCTAGTTGTTTGGTGAGCCTGCCTAAAATAATTTTCGAAAAAACTTTGTGCAAGTTTGTCATGAGGCTAATGGGTCTATAGTTATCTATTTTGTCTTTATCGCCCTTTTAGTGAATCAATATTATAGTTGATTTTGTCCATTGTTCCGGAATAATTTCACTATCTAAGATTTCGTTAAATAGAGTAAGTGTTTTTAGTATCGTACTCAATGACGCTTTAAGCAGTTCATTGGTTATTTTATCTTCTCCTGGAGCTTTGTCGTTCTTCTGTGATAGTTATGGCTTGTCTCGTTTCGCTTTCTAGTATGTAAGGGACTTCTTCTTCTTTGTTTAGATTTTCTATTGTTACTGATAGTTCGGATGAACTATAAAGGCTTTTGTAGAAGTTCGTAGCGATTTTGCTGATTGATGTTCTGTTTGTAGTTGTAAATTCTTTGTTTTCTTTGTTTTTTCCCTTCATTTTCGGTATCCAAAATGAGTGATCCTTAAGTTTCTTCATTACTCTTTTGATTCCTCCTGTTTTCTCGATTTCAGATTGAATGCTGTTGAAACGTACTTCCTTTTTATGGTCTCTTATACTTGATGTGATCCTTTTACTTATTGCTTCTATCTTTTTAATGTTCTTTTTCCTGTCTGCAAGCATTTCTCCTCTTTCTTTTATTAGGGTTCTTGCTGTATGTCCTATTTTGTCCATTTTGTTTAACTTGCTCATGTGTCTCAATTCGTTTCCTAGATTAGTTAATATTTTTTCGAATGTGTTATATTTTTCTTGAATTAAATCGCTATTTTTAATTTTATCCATCTGACTTTTTACTTTATTAAGGATGTTTTCTGATATTGGAGTTGCTATCTGATCTGATCTATTTTTTATGTATTTCCTAGTTCGTTTTTTGTTTGTAATTTCTAAGGTAGCTCTAACCATTCTATGGTTTGTGCTGAAGTTTACGTTATTCACTATGCCTACATCATTGAATAATCCCGGTGTGTTGGTTAATACGAAATCAATTTCATTTTTGGTTTTCCCATCAGGTGAAATCCAAGTCCATTTCCTGCTTCTTTTTTTCTTATAGTAGGTATTCATTATCCTTAAATTGTTTTCAAGGGTTGAGTTTTTGTCCATTTTTATTTCGCCTACCTTGACTGTAGAGTCCAATGATGTTAGTTTCTCCATTTTGTTGGCTACCTATCTGGCTGTTGAAGTCTCCCAATACAATCTTATTTTTATTAGTTTCTTCAATAGTATCTTGTAGTGATGTATAGAATAAGTTCTTGTCTTCTTCGTTTTGCATTCTCTGTGGGCGCATATACTTGTATGATGGACCATGGCTCCTTTCCATCTTGGATAGTCAAGTCCAAAATAGCAATTCTTTCCGATTCGCTTCTGAATTGTGTAATTGCTTATTTGAGATGCTTTTTAACGATAAAACCTACACCGTGTAGCCCCTTTGTTTCTCCTTTGTAGTAGTTTAAAATTTACTATCTAGACCTTCCATGTTAAACTCATTGATACCATCCACAATTGTTAGGACCCACCAATCTGCACTGGGCCTGTGTGGTGGGTGGGTCACTGCCCAATCTCTATTCAATTCATAGGGAAGGCCTTGTGCCCCAGCACTGGGAACATTAAAAGGATGATAATGAAATTAATTCAGTCATAGAAAAATTGCATATATATATAGGTACATCAGGAGCACACAGCATCAACTTAATCAAAACGTAAAAATAAATGGTATCCTTTGATGATGCATGTAATCTACTCGCATGGTTAAATTTGAAATATGTTTTAGGCTGCCGGTTTGAATCCTACTTTTGCCAGAACTATTGGCATTGCTGTGGACCCACGCAGACGAAATAAGTCAGTTGAGTCTCTGCAAACAAATGTGCAGAGGCTTAAAGAATACCGTGCACGTCTCATTCTCTTCCCGAAGGGCAAGAAGGTGAATATTATGTGTCAAAAATTTATTAAGCAAATTAAAGCTTTTAAGAAATGTCATTATTTTAATTGTCCAGTTGATTTTTGTCAAATAAAATGAGATATAAGGCAATGATGATCAATACATCCGCCTAGATATCGGAGGGTGCGGGTTTGAGTTGCTTCTGCTTCCTTGACTGTGGAATTTTTTTGTAGTATTTATTGTTTATTATTATCTATATTTTCCTTAGATTAAAATGGATAGTGATTTTTGCTTTCTGATTTAAAAAAAAAGTGTCAATATCTATTGTAAACTCAAAATTTTCAGGTTCTGAAAGGTGAAGCTAATGAGGAAGAGCGCAAGTTAGCGACACAGTTACGTGGACCATTGATGCCAGTACAACAACCGGCACCAAAGTCTATTGCACGAGCAATTACTGAAGAAGAGAAAAACTTCAAGGCTTATCAATACTTGAGAGGTGTAAGTATTTCAATTATTTTTGTTTATTTATTGAAAGATTTGATATTAATAATAGTTTGAATATTTACATATATAATGGTGTTGGTTCTGGCCGAATTCCCTAAACTTAAAACTAAATTTAACATCAGTCTCTCCTTTTCATTCTGTATAGAGAATGACAAAGATACACTGTTGTCAAATTTAAGTATAGGTTTAAAGAAATGGCAGAATCGACATCACTCGCAGCTGAATTTATTTCGAAATCGCGGACACAATGATACTGGTATGTACGGGCAGAGGACACATAGACAAACAAAAAAATGTGAAGTAACACTTTACCCCAAAGAAACATTGGAATAGGACACACTTTTTCTTAAAATATTTCATTGTAAAATAGGGAGAATACAACATTTTCTTTTAATTTTGAATAATATGAACACAGTAATATCAACTACACAACATACTAATGTCCTTTTCGCATACTTGACTACCTAGCAAGCCCAACATAAGTTGAACGATTGGCAGGATTTAGGCTAAGTAAAGGTGGTCGCGTGTCAAGGAGTTCAAATGACAAGCTAAACGGTCTTATGTAAAGATTTCGCAACTACGCGCGTAAGAACGAATGTGGGCACGTAGATTCTGATCGCGGTATTGTCGCTTCTCCGTCACAGGATCTTGATGGTTGCGTGCGCTTGCGAGCGTATTTAGTTCCTATAATTATATTATTTTTTATTATTTATTTTTTAAATTAAATATATCCATACGGTTTCTTACGTGCAAACTTACATGGTAGCGTAAAATTAATGACGTTTTGAACATCGATTGCCGTGTGTTACCGCTTGTCATCTGAACTTAGTCTTAAAGTTACTGCAGTAACAGTGATTTTACATGCGAGTTTTTGTTTCTTAAAGATTTTCAGAATAACAGTAAACATCTTATTTCATTAAAATTTCCTTCACACTCGGATATCTAAATTACTCTACAAACTATTATGGTAATTAAGATATCGGGAGTGTGGAGTGGAGTAATTCTTTTGGTGTTACTAAGTGTTTAAACTATGAAACTATTGCGATGTTACAGGCACGATCAATCGCTAAACTTGTTGGTATTCGTGCAAAGAGATTGAAAGATGCTGCTGAAAATCCCGACGATGTAACGAAAGCACCAACTGCAGTTAAAGAAGCCAAGACGAAAAAGTAACTTAATAAAAGTTGATTTCATTATCCTGTTTTTTTTTCTATTTTCCTAATCTCTTCATACAAAAAGCAATATTGATAGGCTGTACATACATATTCTTTCCAAAATCAAGTCACTTAAGTACGATTCTAACACATTTTGCTCTTAGATTAACATAAAAAGGAAAGATAAGATACGGCACTCGCGGCTCAAAAGTGATCCGCTTAAATTGTGGTGCATGACCATAATTCGCTTTAGTCACAATTGGACATTCAACTAATTTTTTTCTCAAAAATCACGGTTTGTCGTGAATGTTATTTACGTAATCGCCGTTTTGTTATCAAGAATAGTACAACAGTACAGTTAAGCCGTACGGACTCGGAAGCGGATTCGCCGTTTCGCTCGCGCTTCGTTGAAGCGTATAGTCACTATAGTTCTGTCTCGCTCTCTCGGTTGAATATTTATATCGTCTATATAGGTGCGTGTAAGAGTTGCTTATGTAGTTGAGTCGGATCATATTTTATTTGATGCTCATATGAACGTACCGTATCTTCCCTTTTTGTTTTAATCTAAGATTTTACTAAAGGAAATTGAAACATCCACAAAGTAGTTAAGTTCCTTATTTGCAAGCAATTCAAGCAAATATGACTCCAACGACAGTATACACCACGTGCGCTCAATATGTGTCCCAATCAAGAAGTGCTTGAACACTACTCGAGCACTTCTTGGTTCACAGTCACGCGCAGACCAATGAAAAGTCAAGATGCATCAGAGCTCCAATGACAAAATGTGAAAAAGGAGAAGCTATGTCGAGAGTTGAACGTGTCCCAGAAACGATTTTTATGGCATTTGTCGTTTGAATGCAACATGGCGAAAGAACTGCCTAATTATAGCGACAGGTTTTGCCACTTCCACAGCCACTGGAGTGCCGCAGACGTTTGCTGTATCATATGTTTCTGTATAAGCTGGTGAATGGCATCTTTGACACACCTGACCTATTACACTGGTCAACAAAATTTTAACTTTGTCGTGCCACACGGACTTTTTTGATATTTTTTACTTTAATTGGTGATTGTAAGAAAAAATAAACAGTTAAAAAAATTGCTAGACGAGGATTTTATTCTATTGAGTAATTTAAAATATTTAGAAAATCAAAAGTTGTTTTTTTTTTATAAATGACAATAATCTATAATTTTCTTGAATATTTAGCTTCTGGTTGGTCCCTTTTAATTCTCCAGCAGTAATCTGCTAAAATTTGGGCTCCATTTGCCCTGGTACCGCTTTTCCTTATTAAAAATGTCCTGATGGAACCTCCCACCGTGCTCGTCGCTGACAGCCCCTAAATTGTCAGGAAACAAATCAGATGCGAGTCTAAAACCTAGATCTTAAGTGACATGTTGCAACCCAATGCTTGATATGACAATAATAGCTCGCTAACCACTTCTCTGTAGTTGTCAGTCTTGTGGTTTCCCAAAAAATTTGCAACAACATTTCTAAAAGCCTTCCATGCAGATTTTTCTAAATCTCTTAATTTTTCTTCCAATCTTGAATGTTTTATAACTCCCTAATTTAAGGGCCAACAAAAATACCCTCTTTTATCTTTGCATAACTTATTTTTGGGAATTTTTCTTTTAGATACAAAAATCCACTCCCATTGCGATCCATTCGAGCCTTCACATTTTTTTTATTAATCCTAATTTAATATATAAGATAAGTTATAGGGTAACTAACTGTTTTTTTTTTCTTGTAATTTATACCTTTTATGTCAGTGAGACAAAAATAGCAATCTGAAACGTGATCTCGCTGTTCAGTCCATATCATGGGTACAGTAAACAGCATAGATCGTGCACCTTTCTTCCAGTCAGTTAAACTTTTCACACACGTTATGCAACAGACATGAGGGGCCCAGATAACGACTTACTTGTAAGCGTTTCTGTTAATTTACTGCAGTAGTACTAGTTAAAAGTATTACCGTATCACAAAGAGTACTTTTTAAATACGGAAATAGAGAGCCATCTTGCGAGGTTTGGACGGTAACAGAAAAGCGCCCTCTGCGATGACAATACTAAACTACATCCAGTCAGTATTTTATTCGTGCGACCTCCATTCCTAATAGTCTATTTGTTTTTATCTAAATATTCTTGTAACAGATTTGACAAAATTATCGGTATAATTTTATTAAATCTGTTACAAGAATATTTAGATATTATTTGAATTACTTAATCAAATTGGGAAACAAAACAATATTGATACTTTCATTTCTTTTTATTTTTTAAAGATTTATTAAAATATATTTCAGCCATGCTCTGAAGAACATTATTGTTGTCTTTTTTTCTTTTTCCACATAACACTTTATTAACGTCCTTGCAATATGACCTTATAAAAAATCTCACAGCATAATTATACAAAAACTGTATAAGAAGATTTTTGTGATCTTCACAAGTGGTGATACACTTTGTATCAATATTTAAATATAAAATAGTTTTTATATATTCTTTGACATTTTTTTTTGGGAAATTATCTTGAATAATAATATGGAATATGTCCTGAATTTGTGATATTATATATAGAAAACTTTCATTTGGGTAACACAACCAACCACGCTCAGAATATTCTCTGTACCTCAAATATTCATCGTCTTTATTTTTATTCAATAATGAATCATTACAGGTTCTACAATTTTTAAAAATTCTTTTTTTGCATATTTTTAATATAAACCCACTTACATATGTTAATGACGCCATCCCCTTTACATCGTCTTTTTTTCCACAATAGGGGATGGGTTTATTATGAGGTGTTCCATATTTAATTCCTGAACTGGTTGGTCGGTTTTGTCACTAGGACCTAGTTAGTATATAGGACTGTAAAGATTCACAAAAATCCTCTTCACAGTTTGAACCAACTGCATGAATACTTTTTAAATTATTAATCATGAGCGCAGTAAATGACGACTGCAATGCAGCAGGACTCGGGTTATTATTCCTGCAGCCATGACTTCTAATAGATCCAAAAAATTTTTCAAGGGGATCCTGGTTCAAATGGCGAGTCCAAATTGAAGTGATTTTATGTTCTTGTGATATGATATGATTGTGATTTTTATTAAATATTCCAGACCTTCAATTGTCCACACAAAATTTGTCAGTGACGGTGTATTTGTGGATTTACCATCATTAGTTACAAATCTCATAGATTTTATTATTTTTTTGCGTTCATGCCATAACTTAATATGGGCTGAATTTGGCGTTAATGGTTTTAAATATTGTTTTCCATACTTGGTCTTTTTTGCATAACTCCCATTCATGCTGTCAAATAATTTGTCAAACAGTAGTAATACATCTGCTGTATCTTTGCACTCGGTGGGCAGAAGGCCTTTATCTGAAATAAAAATAAAAAGAACACTATTAGATAAGGAATATGTGCCTGTTGTTTCAACAAGAAGGGCTGTTTTCTATTGGACATAAAAAAGCAGTATTTAATATTGTATTAAATACAACACTGAATGTTTTTATACTATGGAAAGTATGAGCGAAAAAGTCTATGAATGCATTAGATTTATAAATATTCAAATTAAGATATATTTTCTGTAACTAATGTAAGAATAAACATAATATCATACCTGCCAGATAGCCCATATTTGAAGAAACAGTTTGGCTGAAAACTTGAGTGGCAAATTTCACCCTCATTTTCCCCATCTTCTCGGGAATTATATGTTGGTCAGTCAATTTTGGTATCAATCTTATCCCTTTGTAAGCTGTGTTTTCTGCATGTAACAAGCGAAGATGTTCCCATTTGGCCACGCATATCTTTTTGTCTTCATTGACATACTTCAAATTTTTGTTTATTAAGTTATTCCTGATCCCCTTCAACAGGTGAGGGGGATCATATAGTGGTATTATTTCGTTTCCATTCACATCAAAAGTATTCCTTTTTAATTCAGTCCCGGCTACCAACAAATTTTGACGTTTGTCTTCAATAAGGCTTTTTATGGCTTTTTGGTTGTTGGTGCCTTGGTCACACACTGTCGCAATGACTTGGAAGCCAGCTTCTTGCAATTTACTGATAATTTCTTTTATAAAACAGTTGCTTTTGTGGCTCCATTGCAAAACGTATAAGCAATAGGTTGCTTATAATTTTTTATTAACCCCCTAATCATAAATACAGTAGCATGGTTGGCAAACTTTGTTATATTTCCATCTACAACAACACCATATATTTTGTCTTGGGTTTCATTATAATTTACATTGGCTTGTAAAGAAACCTCATCAAATAACAAGACGCAATATGTATCTTCCTTCTTCATTGTTTTAGATTTATTTTTTAATTGATGAAATACTTTTTCATTTATTCCTGGTGTGATTACTGCTTTCCTTACTAGTTTTTCTAAAGTTTGTGGTACTGGGAGAATAAGGATTTTCCTAAGTAATCTATAAGCTTTGGGGCTTTTTTTGTATAAAAACAAAGATGTTATTTTTTCTTTGAGGGTGAATCTGCGACCTTTGGATTTTTTTTGTATCTCCCGAAATTGCAGTAATGTTAATATCCTTCCTGCACTTGTCATATTTTCGATAGTTTTCAGAAACGACTGGTTCGTCATCACATTGCTGGACATTCTAACTGAAGCTGCATACTTTTTATATTTATTGCGGCACTTGCTTAATTTTATTTGCATGTTTCTTAATTTTTTGTATAATTTTTCTTCCTGTTTTGATACCGGTACTCTTTTTCGTAGCCTTTTCATAGGTTGAGCTTTAAAAAAGAAATCCAACATTTTAGCAAGAGTATAATTTGTTTACATGACAAAAACAGCATGTTTGAGTCAGTTAAATAGAGATTTGTATCACACATAAATGGCTACCATAAATTTAAAAATTCAAGAAAAAAGAAAACAAATCACTCTCTACAGCATCCTAGTTAATACAGCCGGTCTAGTACCCATTGGACCCTCCTAATTGGACCTTACCTACAAAAAAGTGCCCGTTCGACCTCCTATCAAGAACATGGTGCCCATTGGACCCTCAAAGACGTACTTAACAACACTATGGGAGCTATTGGAGCTCTTAACTATTTGGCTAATTCTTTTGGAACGGTAAAGTACAGTCGTGTAGTAAAGTAACATTGTAAAAGACATAAAAACACAAAGGTTATAAATCTAAGTATTTAATCAACATTTTTATAAAATTCAAAACTCTCCATCAGTAACAACCAATATAAATATTTACATAAAATATAATAATCAAATCACGGATTTTTTACTTTACTTTTAAAGCCAATAGAAATTATTTTTTATCAAATAGCTCAACTTAATTATAAATATGGTTTGTTATATCACACAGATTAAGCACAATTATTATATATTCTAAATATTGATAAAATAAATAAAAGCACAAAGGTTGTAAATGTAAGTATTTAAAATCAACATATTTATAAAATGCGAAACATCAATCATCAGCAACAAACCATAGAATATAATAATCAAATCACAGATTTTGTTATTTTACTTTTAAATAGAAATGTTTTTTTATCAAATATCTTAACTAAATTATATATACAGTTTTTATATCACTCACATTAACTATTGAAGCACAATTATTATGTATTCTAAATATTCATAAAATAAAATACAAATGTAATATTTTCATATTATATTTTATAAAAAAATGATTTCTAATCATATTTTTACAATTAGCCAGAAATTGCTTATAATAAAAACATACTTTAACTAAAGGATATTGTTCAAAAGCGGTAGTCGGTTTCCGGCAGGGACGAAATATATATATTTTGAAAGTTTGTATAACATGTATAGATACTTCGATTTTTTTATTCATTACCGATTAATTTAAATCGTGTTTAATAATTAAACAATTTTTTAAGTATACTGGCTACCCTATCTTAGTAACGTCATATTTTTAGTGCGTGGTGGCTTATAACGTCAACTCAATCACTATGGCAAATGTCAATCAGTCCAGTCATGGATTATTATCAAAATTATTATCACTGCTTTTGTTACGCATTGAATATAATATATTTGATGCTTGGCAACAAAAAATAGACAAATAAACTTGCCATTTGCAAATCAATTATTAGATAGATTTATGTTATTTAAATATAAAAAACCGGGATAAAATAAAATTCTAGTTTTTTGTCAAACGATTCACAATTAAGTGCGCTGCGTCTCATAAAAACTTGGAGTCTGCCAAAAGACCCACTACCCCACTACCTACCTCCATAAAAAATTTAACAGTCTTTTGTAAAACATTATAAATTACCAAATTAAATATTTAAGATACATATGTGAGTAATTTTTCTAAGCAATGGCCTACGGTTGTAAGATTATTTTCTAGCTGCAACGTAGGTCATAAATCGGAACGAGACAGCAAATTTTCTCTCTCTCCCACACATGAGATCGGCGCCATCCTTTTGTTTAAGCGCAGAGATTGCTTGGGCTTGGAATCTATAACCTTCCTTTCATTAGGTGCTTAAGAGGAGTATAAATGTCGATAAAAACACTCAATCTACCTCAGCATTTCAGTCTTAGATCAAAAGATGATTTCGTTGCAAAATCCACCATCATGTTGCTTAGATTGTCTAGATCCAAGCTGTTTTAAGGAACTTTGAATCAATCGAACTTTGTTCGATTTGAAAGGTCTTGTGGATTTGGTGTTGCGCTGTAAGGGTATTTATTGGTCAGTGTACGATCGCCCTATTGAGTGAAACCTTTTTACATTAATGACTATTAATGTAATTAAATTTTAAATTAATGTGATTAATGATCATTCTTTTAAACCTAAAGCACAAACATATATTATGTCCTTTAAAGAAAAAAAGGTTTTACAATATTTACGAAAAAAAAAGATATTGAAGTATTATCATTGTCACTTGCACCCTTATAACACATAGAACTAAAATACATGTCAGTAGTGCAATATTTGGTTTTGGCTCCTTGTCAATACGAATAAAATAAAAATAAACATTATACAAATTAAATTTTGATTACTTTTGATTCAATTTTTATTTTCTAACTATCTCCATTATATATTATTGTACGAGTACCTTACAAAAAAATCCAAATGTGTTAAAAATTTTCTTTTCTTAAAGGTTACTATCATCTGTCTGCGTCCAGTATTTATAGAGCAATAGACAAAAAACAGTTTTTTTTTATTTTTCCTGAAAACTTACGTTTTTGTGGTTATCTTTTTATTCTCCGGGGACGGCGAAATGTCGTTAATTCGAAGAAAAAAGGTAACCTGATTGTACAGTATTTAGTTAGTGGCTTTATAATACCTTCTATTAATTTTATTTTTGTCTGCAATTTTCTACATGACTGTACTGTGCTTAACAAAACTGTTAATAAGGTCGAACTGGCAGTAGGGTATAATCTTGAAGGTCCAATGGGCACTTAAAAAGAGGTCCAATGGGCACACTGAATATAAAAATTTTAAGGAGGTCCAATGGGCACCAAAAAAGAGGTCCAATGGGCACATTGAATATAAAATGTTTTAAGAAGGTCCAATGGACACCAAAAAAGAGGTCCAATGGGCACTTTTTGCTTTTGGGTCGAATCTTGAGGGTCCAATGGGTACTAGACCACCAAACTACAATCTCCAAGTGTGCATATAAACCTTGTAATATACAAAGCAATAGTTCATTTATGTGTTTGAATAATTACCTGTTATCATTTGTTCTAGTGGATTGGTAGTGCTTGATGGCTTTTGTGTAGGCATCTGTGGGCATTTTCATTTTAAATGGCAAGTTGCTTTTTTTGAGTTGTCCCTTTACATACAAAATTTTAATTAGCATTCAGAAAAATATTTTTCAACCGACTTGTACATATATTGAAAATAGACAGAATAGTTTTCCTAAATTTTATAATATATGGACATAAATTAGTATTATTTTAGTAAAAAAAAATATTTTAGATTATGTGAATAATTCGTTTCATACTGTCCCTTTTCCGGGTAGCAAACTTCGTATTCGGTTTTTGATGGGTTTTTATTTTGTGGCTACATACAACATAACTTCATTTAATAACAATACTTAAGATTTTTTATTTAAATACAATTATTTTTAAATTATCATAGTTATTAAATAATTATTAATTTTTAAAGCTTGTCCCCTTCTTTTTCGCTTTCCGGACATGTCTGGTTTTGTAACGCAAAAACTCGTCAAATTTTTTGATCTAGTAGTATGGATAAATATATTTTAATTCTTGCAACTCTGAACACCTGACATAGACGCATCGGCCATATTGAAAACAGTGACAGAAAGCGGCCGAGGTGGACGGACGTTTTTCCAGTTAACATTTTGTGTTGATATTTGTCTGGTAAGTAACGTTAATTAATATCGTTTCATGGCCTAAACGTACGTTAATCTTAAGTTCAATACATGACTTGGAATGTATTATTTGCAAATAAATCACGGCATTAAAGGATTTGTCGCGTTTTATTGGATAAATTCAATTTTAATTCGAGACACGCGACACTTTTGTAACGTCTTTTTGTAACGTTACTATAAGACAGACAAAAAACGTTACAAAACGGACTTGTAAAGGCTAGATCATACAATAACTTTTAATTTTTAACCGACTTCAAAAAAAAGGAGTAGGTTCTCAATACGCCGGAATCTTTTTTTTATTTTTATGTTTTATGTATGTTCCCCGATTACTCGAAGACGCCTGAACCGATTTGGAAAATTCTTTTTTTTGTTTTTAAGGGTATACTTCACAGGTGGTCCCATTGTCATGAAGTTAGGATCTGATGATGGAATCCTGGAGAAATCGAGGGAACTCTTCAAATTTTATAGGCACGTACACTGTGTTTTAGGTATTTCCTATAGGCACGTACACTGTGTTTTAGGTTTTAGGTACTCATCATCTTATGTTGCTGAGCTGATGATGGAAAAAAAATCTGTATGTGTAGGCGCTTCACACTAAAATGCATGAAATAAAAATTGATTTTAAACAAAAAATAAAAACCGACTCCAAAATTAAAAACGGAACTAAACAGTAAAAACCGATTAGAAATGAAAATCTGTTCCATATTTCAATCTTGGCCCCGCCCGACTTCCAAATCATGAACCGGATATTATTTTTTACTGTTTAGTTCCGTTTTCAATTTTGGAGTCGGTTTTTATTTTTTGTTTAAAAACAAATTTTCACCATTTTATCTTTGATTTGAAGAGAGGCATTACCTTGAAACTCGGTACAATACTTAAATAACAAAAAATTAAGTTTTCATCTTTAAAATATGCTTTACCTATTAAATTAATTGAGTTTTGCTGATTTAGTTTTTATATTTTCTGTTACATTTGAATTATTCACAGTGATTTTTTTTTATTATAAAAATAATAATGATGCAGTTTTGGGTTTTACAAATATCTCTATTAAGTTTTAGATTTAAAGTTTGACATGCCTAATTTAAAAAATAGTGTTTCGTAGAATTGTTTACGGAATGAGGTTAAATAAAATCATTAAATATTTTTTGGGTACTGAAACTTAATAGAATTTAATATATTTTCAATTTTAGATCACAATGGCTCTAACGTCAGCAGAAAGAGTAAGAAGGTATAGAGAGAAGTTAAAAAGCAACCCGGAAAAAGCGAAAGAAATCAGAAAGAAAAATTTGGAGCGAATCAAATCGAAGAAAAAACTAGTTTCACAGATGACTGAACAAGAAAAAAATGAGCATCGTAAAATTTGGCGGGAAGAGAAGAGGAAACAAAGAGCTCAAAACCCCAAGAAGACCCCCGTGACAGCTGGAACACCAAACGCTGAATGTCGATCACGTGCCAAATCTCCACCTTTTAATAAATCAGAACTAGATTTAAATAAACATATAAAAAGCATGCGAAATAAATACAGAATATTAACACAAAAGTACAAATTAGCATTAAAAATAAATGAAAGATTTGTGAAAGCTAAAGAAAAACAAAAGAAAAGATATTACCGATTAAAAAAATCTAATTTAGAGATAATTAATAATCAACAACAAATTATTGACAAACTTAAAGCTAGGGAAGAGATATTAGAATTGACATTGCAGCGGACATATAAAAATTGTGTAAATCGTATGGAAAAACAGGTCTTGAAGCGGTTAATTGAGAACTCTCAACCTGGGAAAAAAACATACGTCGCTAAATTGATAGGGCTCAATAGTCTGCATCGGGTTCGGCAGAAAAAAATAAGACGGAGTTGTAACAAAGAAGTCGAACTATTTTGGCTGAGAGATGATGTCAGCAGATCAACAGCGGGTAAAAGAGAATGCAGATCCGTTGGAAAAGAAAAGAAACAAATAAAATATACAGTTGATACTTTAGAGAACTTGTATAAAAAATATAAAGAGGGTGGACGTTTAGGTATAACTACTTTGTGGAAGTATAAGCCATTCTATGTTCTTTCACCGCAGCTGAATTCGAGAGACACATGTTTGTGTATAAAACACGCGAATTTTGAATTAAAATTTAAGGCGCTAAAAGTACATGGGCTACTTACAGAAACATCTTATAAAGATATTTTGACTGAAGTAACTTGTGATCGTTTATCATATACTTGCGCATTCAACGAATGCAGTCAATGCAAAAATAAAAAAGCTTGTTACAGTTCTTATGACGATGAATGTAATATTATTACTTGGTGGCAGTCGGAACGAGTTGATCATGAATATACGAAAAATAATAAAACAGTGAAGACAAAAAAAACAGTCAAATCTCAAAAAAATACTCCTATTAGTACACTAAAACATGCTTTTGACGACGAAATTAATGCATTCAAGAAACATGTGTACGTAATGAGACACCAACAAAAACAGTATCAACTGATAACTAATAATTTAAATGAAAACGAAGCTGTGATAATTTGTGACTTCAGCGAAAATTATGACTGTAAGATGAGGGAAGAAGTTCAAGCCCTTCATTTTGGAGCATCGAAAAAACAGATAACCTTACATACCGGTGCAATTTTTTGGAAAGCCAGTATGCAATCATTTTGCACTATATCTGAAGACAACGGCCATAGGCCAGAACATATATGGACTCATTTAACTCCAATTCTAGACGAAATAAGGACAAAAACACCTGATGTTAAAGTTCTTCACTTTCACTCCGATGGTCCAACTTCACAGTATAGACAAAAAGGTAACTTTTGTTTACTTAGTATCATACCGAAAGAAATGGGATTTGAATATTGCACCTGGTCTTTTTCAGAAAGTGGCCACGGAAAAAGTATTGCAGATGGAATTGGCGGATCTGTCAAGCGTACTTTGGATAAGCATGTTTCTTTTGGTGCTGATGCAACAAATGCATTGCAGTGTTATAATATTCTTAGAGAATGTATGAAGACCGTAAAAATATTTTTAGTAGACGACATTAAAACTAATGAATATGCGGTAAAACTACCTGAAAACCTACGAACATTAATTGGTACACTTAAACTACACCAAATTATTACATTGAAAGATGACATCAACAAAATAAATTTTAGGGACCTTAGTTGCTTCTGTGGTGATTCTAACAAAGGAATGTGTTGGTGTTATTCACCACAAACCCATGTCCTACACAATAATTATTCACATCCAGATTCTGAGCCAGAATTGGGGTCACAAAATATTTTACTAGCATACTCACCAGATGCAGTTGTTTCAGGATATGATGATGCATATTGTTACAAAGATGCAAAAGTTCCACAAGAAGAGTATGATATAGATGATTTGGGTTTAATTCCGATGCATTCTGAAATTGTTGAAAACCAGAGTTTCAATATAGAATTGATCGATTTTACCGTATCGACGGAAGAAATTATACCATCACACAACACTCTTGATGTTTTGCAATCCTCTCCTGACCCCTTCATTTCCTGTAATATACTACCAAATGAATGTGTAATGAATATGAAAACTGAAGAAATTATGATTGACAATTACAATGATGATGTTATTTCAAATAAAGAAAATTATAACTTGGATATCCCGCAAAATATGATGAGCCAACCTGTCCCAATTAAACGGAAATGCCATTTAGAAGAAAATAAAATTGACAAAAAAATTGCAAGGCAATCTAACAACAATTGTAATATGTGCCACAGGCACATTTTTGATAAAAGTATTACATGTAATGTGTGCAAATTTAAATATTGCACTTCTTGTGTGGGAGATGTACTTCAAGTAGAGTTTATTTGTGATATTTGTTTATCAGTTGAGTGAGAGGTCAGATGGATTAATGCAATTAATGACTGCCTCAAACTACCTAAGATTAAGTTAAAAACTTTTGTACTGAATATATTTTTCTAAAGACCATTTACCTGTTGAACTATTCGATAATTAGTTAATCAGAAGTTCTCTTTTAAATAGTAAATGCCCCTTATCGTAAGTTTTGATCTGCCTAAATAATTGTTCCTATTTGTAATTAATGCCAAAAAGATAAAATAATACTAATTTAGTAGTTAGATAGTTTGTCATATTAGAGGCTGAAGTTATCAAAATGTCCATTTGTAACTGTCCCTGTTTTTTTTTACTAAGTATTCGTTTATATTTAAAAAGTTTTCGATTACTACTTAAACCTTAGATCTCTATTATAAACAAAACTAAAAACCCTTTAATATAACACTGACATCCTATGATAATTTATAAAACTTTAAATGTAACTTTAAAAACAAAACTTGTTTTGCACAAAATGTTACAAAACCGAATAAAATTATAAGTTAGTAAATTCATATTTAATAATTTCCGAGATTTTGTTGATATTTTTAAATTAACGTGCCCAAGACTTAATTAAAGTTATTTTTGTGCATTGCTAATTGGTTTCATTTATTTATTTAACGAATTTAATTTTCGTTACAAACCAGACTATTTTTATCACCTCACTCGCAATAATAATCAATTTAAGGAAAAATATTCATTTCTACAATAAATTATTCTATAAATTCTAAAATTTATGATATTTATAATATATTTAAGCCGGTTTCGGTACAATATTACAAACATTTTTAAAATCCATTCAAAACGAAATGTGCGCCATTTAAAATGAAAATGCCCCTGTACATCTGAGATACAAATGTTGTATTCAATGTCCATAGTAGTAGGCTCTGTAAGGAGAAACATGTTAGCATTATTCACTTGACTTGTAAAAAATTCAGTAGTACTAGGTTAGCAGCGAGAGAGGTATTTGAAGATGATGAGCAATAACCTACAATTTGAGCACACAAACTACCAAATCACAGTAATTCTAAATTTTTCTTAATATTTGGGTTATTTTAGAAAATTATTTGACTTTATTAATTTATTATATTGATATTAACTGTCTATACTTTTCACAAAAGAGTGATTAGTGTTTCAGTTCATTTATGTTGAAATTTTCAGATAACAACATTTTTTTTAAGATTTTAACTGGTAGCAATTTGATGATTTTGGAAGCTAGACAGTCTCATATCAACCATAGTATTTTGGTATGTGAACTCACTTGTAACACTAGCAACATTTGCCTGGAGTGATGAATGTGCCACATTTTCTTTGTTTCCAATATCTTTAGTAATTGAGGGCATACTTTCTTGGAAGAGATGATGACTCATATTAAATACTGGGCCAAAAAGTGCACTGGTGTCTGAAAAATGCCATGCAAGAAGTAATTAATATTTGTGTACAGACAAAAGCAATAATAGGTGTACAACATATACTGTATGTCACAGTACATTATTTTATTACTTCATTACCACTGTTTGTTTGTTTACTGTCAATTCAATGCAACATGCTTCTACAATGTAACAAGTGCTTGTAACAGCCTAGACTGAATAAATGACATTTCATTTCATTTCATTCATATTATACTGACTGTATTTATCAACTGCACATCTGTTTATTGAATATGTTTATTACAAAAATACTTGTAACAATAGTAATATGTATGAAAAAGGATGTCAGTGAATTCTTTAAGGCCAGAGTACTTGCCAGATTGTAAAAGGTTGCTGATTAAATTCTTACTACTTATGTCTAATTAGACATGAAATTAACCATTTCAAAATAATTAAAGTAAAAAAATTACAGATATTAATATCCATATCTATGTCAACATAAATTTGTCTAGTAATGTGACATGTCTATATGCATGTCTAGGTTAAGTGATTCATGAAATATTTAAACAATCATGGCCACAAAAATTATGATTCAGAATATGTGAGTATGACTACAAGAAATAGCTAATAATGCATATGAGAATTATCTGTATAAAATACTCAAAAATTTTAATAAATACCTGTAGATGTTGAAGGTTTATTCTCAACAGCACTGAGGTGTCTCCGGTCTCTTATAGTAAACTGAGGTACCTTGTGCAAATCTTAAACAAAAGGACAAGTCCTGTTACTCTTTATTATATGAAGCTAAGTTAAGCTAAGTTTAAAACATTTAATAACTATCTAGTCCATCAAAGTTTTAAAGATTAACTCTAAAAGAAACTAGAAATGAATGTACTTATTGCATGTTGATTATATTAACACAGTCTATAAATAGCAACTATTGTGTATCGTGTTTTAGAAAATTAAAAACAATGATTATAGTTATTAAAATTTAGCAAGGTATCTAACTCACCCCATAGATGCTTTCTTGGTATAGCTGATCGGGTCAATTTGTTGTATCGACAGCAATCATTAATTTCAAAATGTCGATGACAAACTGCGATTGGCATAGATGTACAGATTACGCAGGCCCAATATATCTCCTCCAACAGCCATTACCCATGATCTAAATCGATCTGGGTACTTGTCGGGGTTGGGAAAGAGATGTAGCACCGGATGTGTATCTGGAAAAGTTTGTTTACTTGAATTATTATTTGAGTTAACAGGTCAGGCACCAGCAACCCAGCGGCGTGATACGATGCAAATTATTTGTAATTCAAATTCGGTAGATTTGATGATAGGTTCTACACCTCCAAAATATTATTCCAAATGTTTTGATGTAAAAACATTACTGTATGCAAGTACCTCCACTTTCCACACAACCAGGCACGCAGCAAAGTTTCTGTGACATGATTGCACACCACACAACACAAATGTTGACAGTAAAAGTCCTCTTTCAAAATGTAAAGCAAATCTTGCCTCAACGTATTCAAGAGTCCTGTCTCAAAACCTCGACGCGAAGCCGGAGGAAATAAATCAATTCAACGAACTTAGCGGAGAAAGCGCACTGCACACGTTTTTGTACAATAAATTAACACTACACACTGTTTAAGAGTTAACTTAGCGGTACAAGAACGGCAGAACGACATTTAAAACAACAATAGCCATATTTGTTTTTTTTTTTTTTTTTAATTTACTTGTCAGTGCTGCCATGGCATACATTTAAATTCTTACCAAAGTATTTAAAATCTTTTTATTTCAATTTTTTTTCAGAAAATTATATATTATCATGGACACGTATTTTTATATTCAATTTGTTTTAACAAACCCTATATTTATAATTAAAAAATTTGTGCCCTTATCTCCATTACAACTCTAATCAAACTTCTATGTAGCAAATAATGAATTAATTATGGCAGCACATTCTTAATAGTACTACTAATATTATACCATTTATTTAAGGAGAACATTGTTAACCTTAGTGCAGTATTATGTTTTGTATATATTTTATTTTCCTACATTGTACGCCACACTAGCGCCTCTGGATTTACAGAACTAGTAGTATAAAATACTACGAAATTGTAAAGCTGTTAGGTAGCTGAAAATATATCATTTGCATATGTCATCTGTAATAAGTTGAGTTATCACGGTGCTGCTGCTAGGTTTCTAGTACTAAGATTGTATGGCACACAACAAATATGAGGCCAATTGACATATGAAAACTGTGATTTAATAATGAGGGTAGATTGATAAAACAAAATTAACTATCAAAGTTCGTGTGGCAAAACCAGTGTTATTATCTAAGATCAACTTTCGCATATCGTCGCGACTTCCTAGGCTTACGACTTGTGCATCCTCTAGGAAGAGATTAGATCGTACCATGGTCGCTACTCGCCGCTGAATAGGTTAATGATAGCTTACATTGGCTTGCACAGAAACATTGCTCGAAATCATTCTAGTAAGATCAAAAATGGATTACCACAACATGCTCATGAGCATGACGCACAATTAATTGATATCGATATTTTCTCTAATTTTCCAAAATACAATGGTATCGATTCTGGCATGATTCTCTAAAGCTAAACTTAAATTTGACAACAGTGTATCTTTGTCATTTTCTATACAGACTGAAAAGGACAGACTGATGTCAAATTTAGTTTTAAGTTTAGAGAATCCTGCCAGAATCGACACCAATATCTATATAAAAAAATATTTTTAAGAATCCGCGTACTACTGTTTTTCAAATGGCTATGATACCATAGCCCATAGAACTATATTGAAGGAATTTGCAATTCCTACCCCTAACAATCATCAGTGCGTAAACTCCCTCCTGATTTTATTACAGCTTTTTTCAATGTGTTAACTCAATTCAATATGCTTCCACCGTCCAAAGCTGCTCAGATTACTAAAAATATCATTCAATTCATCAATGGACAGACAAAATAATACAGTGGAACTGCCGTAGTGCTATAAGCAAAAAAAAAAATTACATTCATTTAATAAATAAATTTTAGCCTTGTCTGAAACAGCTATCATCTCAAAGAAATTTTAAAATTAAGGGTTATCATACTATCAGAGAAGATTGAATAACGGTCTAGAATTATCAAAGAGTACTATTGTAATATTCTCACGTAAGAAGAATCCCCCTCCCGTCATTTTTTATTATAATAATAGGTATATTAATTCCCATTGAAACCCCAGTAAAGTTTCTGAGGGTCATGTTGAATTCCAGACTTTCCGGTAGTGCACATTGTGATTTTATTATAAGTAAAACTGAACGATTTTTAAATCTTCTCCAATGTCTTTCAGGAGTTTGGTTGGGGGCCCATCCGCAATCCTTAAAATTATAGTTTTCGTACCACTTGCTCAAAAAAGTGACATTCTATCCCACAAAAAGCGAACATAACAATAGTCATTTTTAATCTGTTAAAAACAGGGAAAGAAAATTGTACTGAATTTCATTCATCTTCTAGGGGTAGAATGTGATTTAAATTTGGAATACTTACCGTAAATTATACTGAACTACATCTGTGTTTACACCATAGAGTTTGTATATAAAGCATTATACATCTTTTTGAAAAAGGAATACGAATTTATTGTGCAGTTATGATTAATAAATAAAATTACGAAAACCGACGAGGCCGTATTTAATTGGACCAATGTTTCGAATGTTAACTTTTACTTTTAATTGTCATTATTTTTAATAAATGCTTATCTCATATTATCATTGTGTTAATTTTTTCGTAAATAGTACCAAAAGTAGAGTATTTTCCTCGGTGATAAAGCTGACTTAGTCTTGGGTGAACTTAAATCTCATAAGATTCAGCCCAATGCATTTAGCATTACAAAGGACATTGGGCAAAAATGTATGGACGCTGCACCCACGTCCGCCACGGCTTAAACTACATTTGTTTGAAAGGTATTATAGTCATGATAATATGTGACAAAGCGCATCAAATTCCATCCCCGGGGTCTTAAGTTATTTTTGGTTAAATAAGTACAAGTTAATACATACCTATAATGAACGAACATTAAAAAAACAAGGGAATTAATTTAGTTAGTTCGACTACATAGAGGGCTCAGATATTGTGGAGACAAGGTACAAGTGTGCCCCCTTGTGTTATTCTGCCGCGTTAGAGTAAATCCAAAAATCCCCGCATGGGTTGGGGTTTTTTCAAACAGTCTGTTCGTAATAGTAAATTCTCTTCTATATAAAACGGAGCGACCACAAATTACACAAACTTGTCCACTCATCGAAGAAAACGTGGTTTCAGTTCATCCATACTAATTGACAAAACCGATAATCGTATTCCAATGTCCAAAGCGTGTTAGATAAAAATCAATCAAGTGACCGGGAGCGCACAATCACAACGAAGTAAGACGAGTCGACAATTTGCAACTGCAAGTCCTTCAACCCCCGTAAACCGTTTTGAGGTGTTTCAGTAAGTGCAAGCGCAGGATGGTCGGCAGGCTTTGTCATCTATATCTGGTTGTATATAGTACGATATGGCATATTATTATGGTTACTAATAATATAAAATGAAGGCACTATAAAGTGAATTTATTTAGCTACTTAAATTTTAAGTGAAGTCACTTTACATGGGCATATTTAATATGCCCATTTGTCATATCTTTTGACTACCAGGATATTTTTTTACGGTGTCATAATAAAAAAGGCTAGTTTTTCATAGATCTACCGATTCATACCAATTACATTGTTGGCGGAGTTGGGTGCGTTTTGCCCATTGTCCTTTAAACTTGTGAACCCCCACTTAATATTAGACGTCAACTTCTTGCTGACAGATATTAATTCCGTTTACTCCAATTTTCCAACCATCCTCTTATAAATCTACTTTGTTTTTTGAATGAAGAAATAACATCAGAAAATCTCAATCATCAGAAAACACGCTTTGACATTCTGCACTAAAAAGTAAAAAATGAACAAAATATACTCTCTGCTTACTTCATTAGGGCTTTAGAGTAAGCCATGTTTAAAGTTGATTTTAAGATATATATATTTATATATACCTATATAACTGAAAAAAGCGTGGGGCGCTTCTTTATTAAATTTTAACTGAATTGTTGAACATTATGCATCACGTAATACCTATATTAATTGACTTGATAAATATGACACCGCTGAGCGCCCCACGCTTATTCAGTTATATATCTCTAAATCAACTAGAAACATGACTTACTCTAAAGCCCTAATGAAGTAAACGGAGAGTATATTTTGTTTATTTTTGACTTTTTAGTGTAGTAAGTAAAACCGTGTTTTTAGTTTTTTAAACCATTAATTACTATTGATTATGATGCCTTAGAAATAGCACCATTCAATATGATTTAATTGATAAAAACAATGCACACCCTGGTATAAACTTCAAATCTATTATAGATGCTGAATATAACGACTTTCATCATATATTCACTGATGCTTTTAAGTCCTCTCCGTCCGAGTGTAAAGGTGTAGGAGTGTTTCACTCTGAGTTTACTTTTGTCCAAAAAACTAAACTTCCTCCGGAAACATTTGTTTTTACCGGAGAATGTATTGGTTTTTGAATACATCTTTGTTACCTATATAACTCCGAAAAAACTGTAATATTTTGCGATTCGATGAGTGCTCTGAAGAGCACGCACAAGCCCTAAATAAATTCCCTTTCTTTACCAAATCAAAATGAGGAATTTTCGAAATAAATGCATGGAAATGGGATAAATGCTAGAGTTTGCATGGCTCCCGAGTCACATTGGAATTCAGGGAAATGAAAAATCCGACCAGTAAGGCAAAGAGGCAGTGCATTGTGGTGACGTGATTACTTAAAAATGTTATAGCCGTGACATGCTATCTCTACCATTGTGCGATTTGCGAAGTGAATGGCTTACGAGTTGGACAAGTAGTGCACAAATAAAAGGAAAATACTATTTTACGATACAGCCTACTATCCCTTTAAAGTCATGGTTTCGTAAAGCTAAATTGGTAAGACTGCTACTTACACATTAACGCGCATGAGACTTGGATATGTTACTACAGCAAGACATCTCCTCAGCTTGGAATTGTCAGTGATCCTGCTTGCGGGTGCGGAATAGCCACACGGGATCTTAACCACATCCTGTTTTCGTGCCCTCTATGCGATCGATATTCTTTTTTAAATGACCTCATTTCCTGAGATTTTTCTATTCCAACATCAGTAATAACCCTACTATTCTCACGGGCTCTTCTCTAATAATTTACAGATTTATATAGCATCTTTTTATATCGATTTATATAGCATTTCATAATGTTAAATAATATAAGAGTGTAATCTTCCCTTTATCCGTTTTTTATGTATGTACATTTGTATTAAAAAACAAAGGGTGGACGTTTAGGTATAACTACTTTGTGGAAGTATAAGCCATTCTATGTTCTTTCACCGC